GGTGGCTGGTGTCAGAATTGGTGTTCGTAGAGTCAATTAGAACTGGCCCTTCCAAGCCCATTGCTTAGCAAAAGGGCCGGTAAGAAAGACTAGCTCTTCAGAGCCCTTTTTGAGTGAAAAGCAAACCAAAATTGACTGACAAGACTAAAGCATACTTTTTCCATCCTTGGGCTCTAGAGTCTGGGCTATCGACTGCCCATCTTCAACTAGGTAAATTTATGGGCCGCATTCAGGTGTTACCCTTGACGTTAGGCGTCATGTATTTAAGGCAGCCAGGCTGGCTTGAGGGCGGCGACACAAATTTCCCTTTCGTAAACGGTCGTTGTCATTTAAAACGGTCGATGCCATATCGCAAAATAGCCGAACGGACGACAGCCTTCGTGAAAAGCTCGTACATGATTGTCTAACACTAGCACGTCACTTCCGGGGTGTCTTCTGTGTCAGAGTTGTCTACAAGATGGCGGAACAATCCACGTGCGTAAGAGTTGAGCCAGCTGAATCAGACCCAGCCCATTTTTCTAGTGCTGATACGAAACGAAAGGAACTCCTTTTTCTAGTCACTTATGGTGAGTTTGTTTTGCATTTCTCGAAATATTCGAGCATTTTCAGCTAGGATAAAGCGCTTGTTCGAGCAGTCATACAATAATGTTTCCTTGTTCTTTGTATCTTTCTACTGCCAGATGTTAAGGAACAACTTGGGAAGGGGTAAGGAATCGGGAAGGTTTCCAAAGTGGTTGGAAAATTGTGGAAGAAATTGCCGACCGACAGACGAAAGGTTGGATATGAACTTCGATAAATGCGAATGTTTGTGTATTACCCTGAACCATTTCAATGGGTTTCATTACAAAAATAATTGCCATACGAGTTATGCGGCTAACTCTGTAAAAGGTAACTTTGTATCGCCATAGGATTGGAAAGATAAAGCACAGAGCTCGAGAAAAGACCTTGATATGGGAGTAGCAGAGATAAAAAAAAAATGTCTGAAGTGCAGCGCCCAGTTCACGAGGGAGAAAGACTACAAATATCACCAGAAATGTTGTCATGAATGCATTTGGGAGGAATGCAGTGAAACGTTTGGCCATGAGCAAAAGCTAAAAAGGCATAAAGACAAGAAACACAAAGACAGCTATAGGTGTGATCATTGCCAAAAGACTTTTGCAGAGATACGAAATCTTACAAGACATAGAAAAGTCGTGTTATAACCTATCCTACACAAAGTGATTTTGACCGGAGATAATTTGAAATTGCTTTTTGATCAATGTTTAAGACATAATTATTTTTTCAACTTTCAATTTCAATTTCTGAAATCAATTTTGGTCATTATGCGATACCATAAAATAACCATATCCCCTCATGGAAGGGGTTAGGTGGTTGGAATCACACATTGCATAATTAGTTGGTTATAGATATTTAGTTAATCCTTAGACCCATGCGAGTCAATGGCTGAAAATTGTTTATTCTACAATCAGGATAGCACCAAACAAACATTCATACCCACAAGGTTTCACTTGAACAAAACTGTAATAAAATTCTAAGTATTTGAGATTGGCTAGAGTACCATACAGAATGGCATCATACAAATTATCTGAACCCGTGGAAAGGTCCATAAGTTCAGGCATATCATGTTGCTGTTCAAACCAAACTTTAAATAATGACAATATTGAGTTTGTGTTAGATTTTAACAGGTCAGAATAAATCAAAACTTATCTACAATGTCAAAACCTGAATCTTTTTTAACCTTGTTCTTCCAAGTCAGAGGCAGTTTTCTGTTAGGCTTGACTCGAATCATTTTTCCATTTCCTGTTTTCTTTACCTCACAGGACCCAAAAGTAAAAAGACCACTTGCCAAATAAGGTTGCATAGCTCTAGCAGAGGTTAAGGATGTAACCCTTTTTGAGGACTTGATTACACCTTTGGCCAAACTCAGGTCTCTTGAGCTTTAGAGCTTTTGAATGTTTTTTTCACAAGAGTTTCTTAACAATTCTTCAGCATTTGCAATGGAATCATTCTGATTGTCAGTGCTCTGTATTTGTTAAACAGTTGAGCAGTTTGACCCTTGTTGTGACGTTTCCAGACTAGTTTATACCTCAATAACAAGACCACTGGAACCATCAATTTGTGAAGCATCTTTTTGCCTAGCATCACTTGAGCATAATGACTTATATCAAGCAACAGGAAGTGTTTTGCCTATTGCAATCCTGGTCAATTTCTGCCTTTCATGTGTATTAGTGACTGGGATGAAATTGATGCAGTGCACAACACTTGTCAACCGCAGTACATACTGGTGTTTGCATGGGCTCCTGTCTTTGCCAACCTTGGAGCTACACCTTCCAAGTGTCATGTCCACTCTATAAATAAGTATGAACCAACGGGACATCCAATCAAACATTCCATTACAAATGTAATGCTTTTTAATCAAGAGATAGAAAACAGAAAACCATGGCAAGAAGGTCACATGGCCTTTAACCTGGTTGACCCATTAGGATATTAAAGGGAATATTTCTAACAGCAGAGTATGAGCTTGCATAGGCATTCTCTATTCTGTAACAATTTTTTCATTACAAGAAAAAAAAATCAATACCCCGCCATGGAGGGAATTTACCAAAGGTACCTTACCCCTCTGAAATTGTTCAATATCCTATTTGCATTTAGGTCTTCCTTATGCCAAATCAACACCCTTGAAATGCAACATAAAGGCCTGCATGAACTGCAAGGACAAAGCCCGGATAATGCAGGGGGGGTGGAGCAGAGGGGGGCCTCTTTGTGACAAATGTTCCCATGTAGTTAGGAATTTTTCCATTTGTAATGCATGTGATGTTTCCATGTTGTATTTTCCTTGCCAAAAGAGAGAAGCCTGGAAAGCCTGTCCCCCCTTCCCCCTCTACACTGTCTCACCTGTCAAGATAATTAGAAATCAGAGAAGATTGGAAAATTACTGCTCACACATGTACGCCCTCTCATCCCATCATAGCAATTTGTTACTGTGATGGCTAGGAAATAAAAACACCATTGACCTTTGACTCCCTGAAAAGCTTCCAACTTTGAATTCATTATTGCCAAAGTTCTCAACAGTAGAGAGATTGGCATCCAGATCTTTTTTTTATCTGGGACTTTAAAGCCTGTGTTTCCATCCTTTCCTTTCCCCATGAACTGATGTCTGTATACATCATCATAACTCCCATCAGCAAGCTTATTCTTATAATGATCTTCTAGATCAATTGTTAGCTTGTCTATTATTCTAACAACATTGTACTCTTTGGTGTGCTGTAGAATCAGATCCTTGAGAACCAAAACTGAGCCTGATCAGAAAAATTGTTGGCGTGATTCCCTCGAACAGGGAGTTCTGTCCTAAAGCATAGAGTAAAAGCTTCTTTGTTATTGTATAGATTTTGCAAATAGCTAACTAGATTTGGGTATCTCTTGCAATGGTCATCATTCAAAAGTTCACTGTAGCAGTTCTCAAAATCTTGATTTGTCTCATGATTAGCATACATAAAGACTTCTTGAAAAGGTTGAGAAAATAGGGTCTATCTGCTTGGCTGATACACTTTTTAGCCTTGTGAAGCCACGGCCAAGTTGCTAAAGCATGTGGAAGATGTAAAAAGAAGTAAAATAAATGTTGGCCAAACAGACTTCAGAACATTTCTTTCCTCTTTACAATTGTCTGTAAGAACGACGTGGGGGCCTTGTACCCTTCCACAATCATTGAACACAAATTCTGGTTAACAGGACTGAAACATTATAAAGCCATGTTTAAGTGTATGCTCCTGCTCATCACTAATGATTAAGATACCAAGTGGTAGTGCTCCAGATACACTGTGTGTGCACATTACAAACACCTTAAGAGTGTGCTCTTCAGTATTAGAAATAGCATCAACAAATGTCAACTCACCAGACTGCTGTACTTCCTTGTGTATGTGGTTCATGAGTGGCATTACCAGCAATTATAGGAGCCATATCATCACCTTCATATATCTGGTGACAAGTAGTAGTAGTTTCAGGGTTGTCTTTCTTGTGTTGTTCAAGTGGAAGGTCTTTCATACATCATTACCGCTTGTCTACCATACCTTCCTTGCCAAATTGCGTGTTAAGGTAACTGAAGACCCTTCTCCTTGGCATAACTGCCCGATTGGCCTTTTTCCTGTGAAATTCCAATTCATCCTGACATGATTCTTTGAGTTCTTTCAAGTACTGTTGCCTTGCGGTTGCTGGTGTATGCCCACTTTCAAACAGCTTCAAAACCCTTTCTGTGCACTCAGGAGAAAGTTCGTGGAAATCGAAAGCTTCAAGATTTTCATGTGAATGATTGTGTTCCCACTTTTTGTCCACAGAACAAAATCCCTTATTGTCTGCTTTGACTATTGTCTGAAAGGGATAATTAGTGTTCTTCGCTAGATCTAGCAGATGGATTCAAGTGTAATTAATTTCTGCTGTGGATCTTTACTTGGACTCCAGTCGCGAGTGTTGTGTTGGCATCTATAATTAGTTTGCAACACATAGCCCGTCGCTTGGTGGTGTCTTCCTTGTCTTTAATTTGACTGAAATGCTGTTTAGTACTTCGTATTCAGAGATCCAACGAGTCATATGGTGGGAAAGCCAGAAAAATCTCCTCTGTAATTTCAGTCGATTCAAATGGTTTACACCTTGAATCGACTTCTTTTATAGCTGAAGTTATTTGATCTTTCAGGAAACTATTGTCCAGTTTGTCGGCCATTTTGATATGATAAAATCGCGATGGTTTATGAGAAAGCTAGTCACGCGGAATCTACGAGAGCGCTTTACTGTCACGCTCTGATTGTCACGCATGTCGTCGGAGAGTTGGAAGTATCGGTTACCTTCCTGGCATCGAACTTTCCGACAGCACCGACCGTTCTGAGAAATGGCATCAACCGTTTTAAATGGCAAAGACTGTTTACGAAAGGGAAATTTGCAGTGGCAACGTGAATTGTATATATCTAGTGAATCACCTGATTTTTGAAGAAAAATATGTGTATAAGTCATGTGGAATACTTCCGATACTCGCCCGATCTACCTCCCACAATTGCACTTCTAATGGTGTAAGAAAATGAAATTGCAATTTAAAAAGCGCTGGAGATGCCAAATGAATTCAAACCTTGCCTCTTGCAAAACGAGCAAGATAATTTAGTCTTCTTCTTTAAACTAAAAAAATGTAATTGATCTGGGTCAATAGAAACTTACCTTTCTGACTCTGCATATGGGAGATTCTTCATCCAGTCCAAGAATTTAGTCTGTGACCCACTATTTGGTGTTTCAGTTTTCAAGGTACTCGATACTGCAGTCCTTTGACTAGTATTCACTTAAGGTCATGGATATAAGCAATGATATAGGATATCGGTGTTAACTGGTTATCTAATCGTTCCGTCAACCTTAACCAAAGCTTGGGTTAGTAGAAGGAGACCCTGGCGATTGGCGAAAGGTTGTGGGTAAAGGTGAGTTATATTTTGGATACCTATGACCGACACCCACTACACTGTGCACTATCTAGGAGTTTAGCCCAATAAGTCAGCCATCTAAATGTACGTAAATGTATTTTACCCAAATAACCTGTTACTGTAACGATGTCACCCGGATGGCCGTGTAATAAACCAGATTTAACTATGAAAAGAAAGTACACTATATTCAGCCGCCATGACAACCGGAAAGCATGGCCCACATAACTTCCACTAACACAAATTCCGGTAAATAATACTATCAAAACATTACATCCCTTCCTTTCTTTAGAGACAAAGAGATAACAGCAAAATAAATAAATAAATAAATAAATCTATCAGCATGAAAACTGTTCAATAAAACTTAGTAACATGAAACTGAATCTAACAGACTTCAACATAAGTCCAACGTATCAACAGAGTTCAGTTCATAAAGTACATAGTCCTTGTACTTCTCCAGCATTCTGACAGTCCGCCTTGGCCTTGATGTCGCTATATTCTCCTCCAGTGGAAGGGTATTGGAAGCGTCTTGAGAAATGGCCTCTGTGGCTTCCGGTAATTCCCCTGGTGGGTTGTACCGCTTAAAACCAATGCACTGTTCCGCCTATATTCCACACCCTCTTTAGACCTAACAGTCACCTGCCGCGCCACGACTAACGCTAAAAAAGCTCCATACAATTCCTCATAATAAAATTGTAAGGAATTGTATGAAGCTCTCTGGGATACTTACAGTGCAAGCCATGTGTGTCTTCTCATGATGACGTGCCAGAGTCAATAAGTACTGCGGGTAATATCACTCCTCCCATCTTTAAATCTACTTCACTACCACTTGTAGGCTGACCGACTCCAACTGCAAATGCATAATAATCTTTCTGGCCAGTGGCTGAATCCTCTGATAGTTGGTAAGCTCTCTCCCGTGTATTATTCCATCGCTCGTCTCCTCTTGCGAAAGGTTTGCGTTCCTTTGTTTTGCAACAGACTTCAAAATGTCCAATCTCACCGCATGCATTACATTTCTTGCTACGGGCAGGACAATTCGGGTCACGTGGCATATGGTCAGTGTACTTACAGCGAGAACAGCCTCTCTCTTTTGTCTCCTGAGAACCACTCGATGGTTTACCGGGCTTACTTCCTCTGCCTCTACCCTGTGCTGTCCTTTTTCCTTTTCCTTTGCTGTAAGGTATGCCGGAAACAGCATTTACCTGACTGGATGACAGATCCATAGCCTTGACCTGCATGTTCAGTGCTTCTTGCACACGAGCCAAATCTTGTAAATCCCTCAGAGTAGCCTTTGCTTTCTCAAGAAACTTACGGCGAAGGCTGGGATCCCTGCATTTCTCAATAAGCTGTTCTCTTATTGCCTCATGGACATTTTCAAACTCGCAGGAGATCACTTTCTGCCTCAACCGACAAACAAGCTGATCCACTGACTCTCCTGACGCTTGCTTCATTTGCCTAAACTGATGCCTTTCGAATGGAACATTCAACTGTGGTGCGAAATAGTTATCCAACAACTCCATACTCTCAGCGAACGGCTTGATATCCGCACCGGTCAATAACGTGTAATAAAGCTCCTGTAAATTCAATCCTCCACTATGCAACAGCAATGCAGTTTCTGTTCATCCTTCGTAATACCTTTTGCCACCAAATACAGATGAAACGAAAGTTTCCACAACTTCCAGCGAACTGCAAGTGTGTTCGGATCTTCCTTTGGATTGAGGGTAGTAAGGCTGGCCACATCAAGAAGAGGAACAAACGTCGCAGCTGGCGAAGCTTGTGAACTTGAAATTGTACTCGAACTGGTTCCACTGTCCACCATCTTTTGAGAAAATGCCAAGACTTTTCGCACAAATGACTTCCAAAAATATCCATTACCTCACACAACGAATTGAATCCTCGTAGCCAATGTAACGATGTCACCCGGATGGCCGTGTAATAAACCAGATTTAACTATGAAACGAAACTACACTATATTCAGCCGCCAAAACAACCAGAAAGCATGGCCCACACAACTATCCATGATCCTTTGCATGTTTGCAATGTCCGAAAACTTCCGCTAACACAACTTCCGGTAGACAATACTATCGTAGCATTACAGTGACAGTCGAACCTGTATTATGCGACACCGTCTTAAGCAGTCACTCTTCATTAGGCAGTGGTTTTTTCAAAGTACCGGAATTCGTTATCGCTCAATTACTCAGCTTTCACCTCTATTAAGCGGTCACCTCTATCAAACGGTCGAGGTCACCCTTTATTGAGTTCTAACGACTTTGTTTAAAGTGTGCTTAATCTGTACTAAACTATCACCTAAGGCAGGACCACTCAAATAAAACTTAGAATAGTCTTTCAAGTAAAATGTAATTCATATTTATTTCCCGAGATCAATGTTGGTAATATTTTTGAGGGAGTTTTTGATTTTTTAGGTGGTCAATTATGGCACAAAACGACGTTTTTTTTCATGTTTTTTGGTATTATTAGGGAGCTCGTTACCCATCTACTACCAAGGTCTCCTTTCCCACGCCTTACAATCCTCAAGGCCAACGACTCGGTATCAAATAACACGAAAAAAAAATAATCACCCCTTTATTAAGAACTGTCTAGTCATCTTCATTCTTCCTTCCCTCCTTCCTTCCTCCTTCCCTCCATATTTCTTCTTTTCAATTTTTCTTACTTCATTCATCCCTTCAATTCAATTAGCGGCTCGTCCTTCTCATCTTGAAATTCCTACCTCCCGTTCTGCCTTTCTCCCTCCGTCCATTACTCTCTACTCTTCAATTCAATTTCTCTTTTCATCTCTCTCCCTTCCCCTCTCTCTACCTCCTCAATCTCTTTCCTTCATCCTCACTCCTTCCTTCTTTCACTTTCTGCATCATTTTCAGGAACATTAATAGAGTCGCTCCACTGATTGGGTTCGAGAAATTTTATTTCTTTCACGTAAATTTGGGTAAAATCAATGGTTTTTATTTGCAATACTCGGTAATGCAGGTAAGAACAAAAACTTTCCGGCACATTTTAAAATTGATTTTAAACTACTAAGATAGAATTAAATGTAATTAGACTCCTTCTTCGTCTCCCTCTTCCTTTGATTTTCCATACTTACTCCTTCCCTACCTATTCCGTCATATTTCGTTAAACCTGGTTGCTGTTGTTCAAGATATTCGGTGATACAGCAACGAAAACCGAAGTTTTTAGTACCTTTTATAATTTATTTTTCCTGTAGAATAATTCTTAGCAGGAATTTTCTTAGACATTGTACTTAAAAGTTAAACACTATCACCTGCTTTCGCTTTGCTTTTTTCAGGGCCTGGGTCAGAAGGGGAAAACAATGATCGCCTTTTCTTTGGAGTAGAACTCTCTTCATCCGGATCATCTGTAAACATAGAAAAAAAACTTATCATGACAATCTTTTAAGCAAACATATTAGAATTCGTATTTCACTGGATGAGAGTAACAAATAAAGAGGCTAAAGAAGCCTCTTTCAATTCTCATTGAAACTAAAATAACTCTACAAGGTAGCAAAGAAAAAGAAGAAAACTGCATCTTTAAAGCATTAAAAATGAATGCAAAGACCTTTGTACCAACAAGTGCGCTGGTTTTATTACAATATAAACGAAAGAAAACTGAGTGAAAGGAAAATCAATGAAAGGAAAATCGATTAAACGAAATTGTATAAAGCAAAATACATGAAGGGAAAATGAAGTAGGCGAACGCGATTTGACTTACTGAGCAGGAAGGTTTGTTTATGCAGACAATTAACAGAGCGCTCCAACAGTCAGATAACGTACCATGAAATGCAACTTGAGTTCAAGAATTATGTTTAATGAGTTAAACTAGAAATTTCTCTTTCTCCTTAGATTTATCTTTCACGGAATTAGTTGGTGAAGTGGTAAAATATTATCAGTAATGGTTAACACATTACCAATCAGTTCTCTCAGAGTAGTAAGATATCGAGACGGTGTGAATGTATAACCTGAACGACGTAAATAGATGTAAATAGATTAGATCAATTATCTACCGTCTAGTAGACAACCGTCTTTCCTCCTTTTTCTCCCATCTTTCCCTTCTTTCCGTTCTTTCTTTTTTTCCATACTTACTTTATGATCCAATTTCCTGGTCATTCTTACCCCCCTAACAACTCTCTATCTCTCTCTCTTCCACCCCTCTCTCTTTGCGCTCGAAACTCTTCTCCTTTCCTCAGATCTCCCTCTTCCTTCTGGTCCTTCCATTTTCACTCCTTCCCTCATTTTTCCGTCATATTTTGGTACAACTTGTGGTTTTTATTCAAGATATTCGGTAATTAGGCCACGAACACAAAAGTTTTCAGTATGTTTCGACTTTGATATTTTCCTTGCTACTTAGCAAACCTCTTGAACAGGAATTTTCTTTGACATTGTACTTTAACGTTAAACAATATCACCTGCTGCCTCTTTGCGTTTTTTAGGGCCTGGGCCGAGAAAGGGAATTGATGACCACCGACTCCCTAGAGTATCAATCTCTTCATCCGAATCATCTGTAAACATTGACAAAAAAACTCCTTTAGGCAAACATATTGGAATCAGTTTTTCACTGAATGAGTAACAAATCGAGGAGCTAAAAGAGGCCACTTTCAGTTCTCCTTGAAGCTAATCAAATAAAATTCTACAAGGCAGAGAAGTATGGGTTTGATCATCTGAAAAGAAGAAAAGTGCATCTTGTATGCATCAAAAATTGATGAAACAACTTTTCTACCCCCAGGTCGGCTTGTGCTACCTGCTATGAAAATGAAAGAAAACTGAATGAATGGAAAATCGATGAAAGGAAGAATTGATTAAATGAAAATGAATAAAGCGGAAAAACATGACGAAAAATTGAATTAAGCGAAAACGAATAACTTGCTGAACAGGAAAGTTTGTTCATGATGATAATTCATGGAGTACTCTAAAATATTACGAAATTCAATTTGAGTTCAAGAATCATGTTTAATAAGTGAAACTAGAATTTTTCTTTCTCTTCAGAGTTATCTTTCACGGAATTAGCAGGTGAAATGGTAAAATATTTTCAGTAATGGTGGACGCATTACCACCGCTGCTGCTGCTGCTCAGTACCGTTCTTGCCATAGTACGATCACCGAGTAATCCATACGGTGTGGATTTATAACCTGAAAGACATAGATAGATGTAAACAGATTAGATAAACTATCCACCGTCCTTCCTCCTTCCTCCCTCCATCCTTCCTTCCTCCTTCCTCCTACTTCATCCTTCATCCTTCATCCTTGTATAGTTCGCTCAGTAGTGGTTGTGTTTCTATTAAATGCCAGTTTTTCATGAGAATTTGCTTTTTGTGTGGCACTGAGTACGCACATCAGGGATTGCGTCTTTTTCGAATCGTTCGCCTTCGTAGATGTACAGCCATTTTTTTTTACTGTCTCGATCGTTAAGTTGTCTTGATTGCTTTCAGCTTGCGCCACGCGCGCTGATTCGATCGTACTACAGTTCTTAGTGTTCAGTGTTCCAGCCGTTTTGGCTCGTTTTCTTTTCTTTATTTCGGTATTAAAACGACCGATTTCACGTTCATAGAAGCACATGATCGCCTTTACTGTTTCTTGCTCCGCGTTGTTAAGGATTTGCTTTATCTCATTTTTGAAATCCTCGTCTGCTCTTATTTTGGCCCTCGCCCTATATTGTAGGGATTCTGGGCATGTTCTGCTAGGCATTTGGTACAGAGGGATTTGTTCGTTATCCTCAGACTTGCCGAGTAGATCATCTTCAGTGGCGGTGTCGTATGAGGCTTCCATGTTTTCTTCATTCTCTGAATGGCATTGCTTTGGCCCGGGGCGTTTAGTAGCCCATCTGCCGTTATAATGTCTTTCGAAATTTTCTGTAGATGGTCAGGCAAGACCGCGGTTTCGATCCTAATCTTGTGGATCTCGTCAGTTGCCGATTAACTAAATAGACTGGTAGAGATTCGTTCTCGGTATCAGTCGGGAATTTTGCTCCCTATCCAGGCGAACCTCTCGCAGATAGCCAAGATGCCGATGTGGCCGCCGATGAATAAGACGAGGATGGCATTTTGCCCGAAATCCTCTTTTTCGGCCTCCCAACATGCAAGCCACACTCCATGCTTTTACCCTTCTTTCACAGAAGTACACAACCAGTGACGTCACAGGGCTGTTTTGGCCGCGCCAAGATGGCCGCCAATTTTGATCTCAGCCGGTCAACTTCGAATGGTTAAAAATGTACTTTCCGCTATGCGTTGGCCCAAAAAAAGTACACAGCGTTTGCAAATAACGTTCAAACTCTATTATATTGCAAAAATCTCGGATATGAAAATTACGTTTCAGTAGCACTTTAAGGCTGAAAGGAAAACTGCGATGTTTAGAGATGTTCGTGATCATCATAAACGGGATATGGACAAACTCTTAAAGTGTCATAACCGGTACAATGCTTATCAATGCGAAGATGTCAATAGAAGACTTAATCTTTTTTGCATTAACATTAAGTTCATGTTAAGTCCATAACCGTCTCCCGGTTAGTTCTGTTGGTTAGAGCGCCAGATTGTGTTGTGCGGGAGGTCGAGGGTTCGAGCCCTGGCCGGACCAATACTCGTGGTCTTAAGATAATTGAGGATAATTTGCTACCACTCTATAATATCAAGAAATGGATATATATTCTGGTCGTCTCGGATGAGGACGAATAAACCGAAGGCCCGTCTCCTGCAGGGTTAGCTAGGGGTAGGAGACGTTAATTTCCCACGCACGAGATAACTGTGTGGTGGATGTCCTCCCCTGGGTGGGATGAGTGGGTGTTTGTACGAAGAAACTAGCACTACCATGCTACTCTGAAATTCGAACGGAAATAAAGTTATGTCTGTATGATGCGTGTTTTCCGGTATATCAGTGCGTGTGTCTAATAAGGACCCCCGTTCTTTTCTCCTTTAATCAACACCTATTGGACCAACGACGAAAATTGATTCAGCGAAGTAACATATCAGGAAATTCTGTTTCGATTGAGATCCAAACTCTTCAAGAGAAAATTAACAAGTTAATCAGAGATAATCAAGTTCGGGCGGCTAAGGAAATTTTGAGAAAGATAGTGCCGGATCCAAGTCTTGGTGGTCAACAGCCAATTCCCTAACAGGCCCGAAGTCCACCAACTCGCAAGTAACCTCAATTATTTCTCCGTGTGAGATCAATAATTTTTTTTGTTCTATCAACACTGATCCCCTTTTTAAACCCATTGACACTGTCGCTATCCCGTAATCAAGCGAGATTCCTGTTTTAACAGTCTCCTGTGTTACCAGGAGTCTATTGAAATTAAAATGAACTGCCTCTGGTCTAGATTAAATCCCGTACTGGCTTTGGAAAGAGTTTGCTTACGACCTCGCCCCTGTTGTTACCGGGTTTACATGCAGAAAGCGAAGCTGTTGTTATCCATATCTTCAACTGTTCTTTGGAAAACCACATTGGGCCTGATCTTTGGAAGTTGGCCGACATAACTCCCTTGCCTAAAGAGCCCAAAAGTTGCACACAGTTGCGGCCTATTTCGCTGACTAATGTAATAATGAGGGTTTTTGAGCGTCTTGTATACAAACAAGAATTATCTCAGTATATGATAATAATAATAACAATAATAATAATCATCGTCATCATCATCATCATCATCATAATGATCATAATAAAGAGTATTTCTACAGCGCACAACTGCAATAAATTGCCCATGGCGCTTTACAACGAATAAAAATAAATTATAAACAAACTACATTTACTAACATTCACTAACAAACATTTTAAAAAGATAAATTTTCAAAATTCTTTTAAAGATGTCAACCGAAGAACTCCTACGTATTGAAAGAGGCAAAGAGTTCCACAATCTGGGAGCACATACTGCAAACGATCGATCTCCATAAGTTCGCATTTTTGAAGGTGGCTCTACAAGGTTGCCATTACTAACAGATCGCAAAGAATAAGAGCTCCTACGATAAATTAAAAGATCAGACAAATAAGACGAGGCCTTACCATTAAGAGATTTATAACCTAAAAGAAGAGTCTTAAAAACAATACGATGCCTAATGGGAAGCCAATGCAGATCGATTAAAGTCAATTAACTTCATTAGCTTTGACCAGTTTGCATACCGCAAACGCCACAGTACGACTATGGCCTTAAAGTGCACCTAGACCCAAAACAATTTTTTCGCTTAACGAAGTAAGCTTATTTTTTTGAGTATTTCTGCGCAAAAATTTTTTTTATTTGCTCAAATCTTCAATTTTCTATGCCCAGTCAAAATACGGATAATCGGCCGCCATCTTGCCCCACGACCGAGTTTAAAGAGGAATGGCTCTAGTGGGTAATGTGACGTCAAATCGAGAACAAGGAAGTCTGCATTTCACACATTTTCACTTGTTTGGGAAGGTTGTAGTCGATAATTGTCCGAAAATATGCCGACTAAGTGTGTTGTAGAAGGATGTAGCAACGTGCGAAATTTGCAAGAGGGTATCGCGCTTCATACATTAATAATAATAAAGACTTTATTTTACGAGGGTAACACATAATAGCATAGCTAATAAACTTGTGGCCCTCACTCAGAAATAATTACAATATAAAAACTAGTATAATACAATATGAAAATAGAAACTAATATAATATAATATAATTACAAGATAAGTAAAGAACGTCATATTTTATTAAAATTAGTGGCTTTATGTCATAATATTCGTTGACAAGGGGCCACGTAAATTTGAAACTAATTTTTTCCTTGTTACTGAACAAAACTTTCAAGCAGACATTTCCTCAGACATACACTTAAAACCTAAACATTATCACCTGCTGCCACTTTGATTCTTTTAGGATTTGGGAAAGAAGGAGAAGGTGGCATCCGTCTCCCTTCAGTATCCGAATCATCTGTAAAAAATTTATGAAAAATCATACCTTCAGTAAAATGTGGCAATTCCGTTTCACTGGATATAATTTCCAAGTTGAGAGGCTGAAAATCATTCACTACAAATGACCGAAACCACTCTTCTACCTACAGTGTACAGGTTGGCAGGTGCTTCCTCATTGAACTCAATGAACCTTACCTAGACGACCTTGCAAGCGGCAATTGTCTAGAATTATCGTCAAGCCTTTTACTAGTTTATTTTACTTTGTTTTGTTTTGCTGTTAATCTGTTCCTTTGCTCTTTGTTTGCAGGACGGTTAGTTTTGGTATGAGAATCGGTTGCCATTGTGAATCACATTACGCAACATTTGCTGGTGTTATAGCTAAAAATGTTACATCATAAAAAGCGTTTTTATGCAGCAAATATCTATATCCATTGCGTTTGGACATAGAATTTCTTTAATAAAAGTAGTTACTGTTTCATCTAATTGCCACACACACTGTGCCCTTACCTTCGAAGTGAGGCCAGGACTCGAAAACATAAGCATCTTTTAAAGTGTGCGCAACAAGAGAGGCTGCCATAAGACTGGCAAATGGTCTCCAATGATCAGTTTCAGATTTTTTACCATCGGCGAGGTTTGAAACGCCCTTGATAACGATCCATTCGATGTTGAGGTCATGGGCAGCTACGAAAAGACCTAAAAGACAAACACGGTTTCGTGTTAAAGAGACGCTAAAGACAACTTTGAAATTTTGCATTTTAAGTTTAGCAAAGATATGAATATTGCAGGTGAGTTACAACTAATAAAATTGCGATTGACTGTAAATAAGTTAGAAAAGGAGACACTCCAGGCAGACAGTTAGACACAGAGACTCGCGGAACACAGAGATAAACAAGCGCACCCAGAGAGACACACAAACAGCAAGACACACAGAGAGACAGTGAAAGCTGGATACAAACACTTGTCATAAAAGTTGGAAAGCAAGCAAGGAAGAATTGAAGAGCTCCAGGAGTTGTAATCCTGGTTCGTTGGTGCTGTTGTTGTTTAACAGTAGCTATTATTCCATCTCTTAGATATGTTTCGTTCATGGTGTTCAGGTTCAATGAGAAGCGTTTTGGCATAAAAGAAACAACCCTTGATTGGTTGACATCTTATCTGTCTTGACGTAAGCAGTTTGTTCAAGTTTAGAATGGTTGTTCTTCTCAACAGTTGTTGATACGTGGTGTGCCACAGGGGTCTGTGCTTGGACCGTTGTTATATCTTACGTACACATCTCGTATTGTAGATATCATCAGAAGGCACAATCATGTATATCATTTATACGCTGCTGATACCCAAGTTTCTATCTCGTTTGAAACTGGCTGTTCTGCTGATCCTGAACAAGTAAAGTCTTAGTGGGAAGTTGTTTTCAGGATATTGACTATTGGATGACATTTTGCTAATGCATGCCCTAATAAGATATGCTTCAACTGTGATGTTACCGGACACGAAGCGCGGGAATACCCACGCCCAAGTCTTTGTTGTATTTGCAAGCAAGAGGGCCACTATGGTGTGAATTGCCAATACTCATGGGTCTCCCCAGCGGTCCATGGCACCGCAACGGATGAATTGGCAGACGTAAACATCGACACGTCTGATGACCAACAATCAATTGATGAAAATCTTCCACTCGCTTCCGCTCTTCCGCCCAGAAAATCCATTGACGAAATTCTTACGCCAGAAAATCTTCCATCCACCGAGGAAAATCTTACGCCTGAAAATCTACCATCCACCGGCGACCCTCCAGCTACTGACGAAAACTTTACGTTCGACCACTCTACCGATTCTTTGCCTGCCTCTTCAGAATTGTCGCCAACACCACCTATTTCCTCTGATTCGCCGATCCTGGACCCTCAAGGCCTTATGACCTCAACTAAACCCGCTAAACCGCCATCTCGTCGTACAACTACCCGTCTCGCCGAACCATCTCTCGCCTGTTCCAGAAAATCAACTACTCCGACTCTTGTCGCCAGAAAATCTCGCTCTGCGATACCTGTTCCAACCTCAACACCCATCTCTTCTTTAGACACTCCTGAAAACGATATGGAAACTACACACGACCTCAAAGGAATATCCTCCGACCTCTCTCCATCTCGCAATGAAACCTCTACCTACCCCAGGAAAGAAAAAAGGAAAAAATACAAACTCAAAGAAACCTCTACCTACCCCAGGAAAGAAAAAAGGAAAAAATACAAACTCAAAGAAACCTCTACCTACCCCAGGAAAGAAAAAAGGAAAAGATAGAAACTCAAAGAAACCTCTACCTACCCCAGGAAAGAAAAAAGGAACAAATACAAACTCAAAGAAACCTCTACCTACCCCAAGAAAGAAAAAAGGAAGAAATAGAAACTCAAAGAAACCTCTACCTACCCCAGGAAAGAAAAAAGGAGAAAATACAAACTAAAAACAATCAAAGTAAATCCGATACGTGACGATTCACTTTCAAGATCGAAGCGGCGCAGCGTCGCTTCGTTGTAAAAACCGCTCCGAAATCTGCGTTGCCTTTGTGAATGATTATGATTAGCATAATGGCGGCCACGCTTTGCTTTAGCTCCAAGGTTCAAAGAGGTTTTCTACTTTTAGGCTTCGTTTTAACGCATCTAAATGTCATCCATAATGCAGCTAAGTATCCTCTTCATCAGTACACTACCTTGATTGTACCACAAGCACTAAATACTGCAATTGAGGGCGTTATTTGTCTCCGGACTTCTGCCGGCGACCACAACTTCAAGCCGGCGACTTCTGGCGGTTTTTGTAAACTCCAAGGGTTCCTGCAGTTCAGAAATAGTTTTGTACTATGCAAACTCTGTGGCTACTACACAGATACTTTTACTTTCTGGTGATGTAGAGCTAAATCCTGGATCGCAAGGCATATCTACGGAAGCTGAAGATTTTTTACTGAACTTTGCGAGTGAAATCAACGGTGGCTCAAATAATTTGAATAAAGGCTGATAGTTTCGAAAGAAATTAATTCAAATAATTTGAGTATAGCACAATTGAATGTTCGAAGCTTGAGGAATAAGATGGATGAAATCAAGCTATTACTTAGTGTGTCGTTTCGACATTTTAACAATTACCGAAATCTTTTTAAACGCGAGAATATCGAACAAGCAATTACATGTGGATAACTATAAGATTGTTAGAAGGGACAGAAATACGGGACAGGATGGAGGTGGCTGTTTGACTTACATTGCGTGCCATATTTGTTATTCAAGGCTCAAATCCCTAGAGCCTCCTGATGTTGAATTAATCTGGAGCAAAATTATGTATATTCGTCTGCGTTGATACTAGGAAATTGTTATCGACCTCATACTGACTTCCAGTTCTACAAACGATTTTGCGATTGTCTGGAGAAAGTGTGGCTTAGGCACAGGAATGTGGTACTTGTCGGTGATTTTAATTCAGACCATTTTCGTAGCTACGAGGGTGTTACATCATACGCCGGTAAAAGATTACAAGATATACTCCAGCAATTTAGCTATAGCGTAATGAACGATAGGAACCAGCCAACAAGAGTTACAAGAGTTACAAGTGACACACAAACACTGATTGACTTGGTTATTACCAGCAAGCCGGAGATTATCAAAGGAACTATTAAAAAAACTGAGTTGGGAATCTCAGATCATAAGCTGGTTCCTGCTACAATATGGTCCAAAGTAAAAAGGCCGCCTCCAAAGATAGTCAGAGCCCGCACCTTCGAAAGATTTGATCAAGCTGCTTTTCTGAAGGTTATCGAGTGCCTCGTGGTCAGTATGTTCAGTGTTTAACGATCCAGGCGATTGCTATTAGGCGTGGTCACACATATTCAAAGATATCTGTCAGGTGCATGCGCCTTACAGGGAAGTTAAAATTAGGAACGTCTCGGTACCTTGGATAACACCGCAAATACGGCACTTGATGAATAAACGTTTCAAAATGTTTAAAATGGCATAACGTCTGGGTGATCCAAATCTGTGGGCTGAGTATCGGGAGTTGCGGAAAAGAGTGACAAGGGAAGTGAGGCTCTCTAAGAGCAGATACTACTTGGAATTGTTCAATGAAGTGAAGGATTGTAAATCCTACTGGAGACTGGTAAAAAATGAGACAAACGGCAAATCGATTACCCCGATATTAGGGGTCAGGAATGCGGATGGAAAAGTTGTCACCTCCGATCTGGACAAAGCGAACATACTTAATGAACATTTCTCAACTATAGGCGAAAAACTGGCCAACGAATTGCGGAATGCCAACTTGACTCAAAATAACGTTCATGTATCTACCTTCGCGCCTTCTGTTATGAACATAAATTAATCGCACGAGGTTACTGTTGGTTCTATGGCTAAGTTGAGAGCCGATAAAGCCTCTGGGCCCGACAGAGTTGCTCCAAAACTTTTAAAGTTTGCTGCTGACTTAATTATTCCATCTTTGTTGTCTGTTTTTCAAATAAGCGCCACCTGAAACAGTGTACCGGCTCCTTGGAAGGCTGCAAACATCTCAGCTCTCTATAAAAGTGACGATGAAACTGTTAAGCAAAATTACAGGCCTATTTCGCTATTAAGTGCACCAGGAAAACTGATGGAGTCTATGGTGGCGTCAACTATTACCATGCATGTCACTGAACAAGGACTTGGGAACCCTCACCAGTGGGCGTATAAAATAAGTCATTCCACCTAGCTGTTGTTAGTGAAGATAACGGATGACTGGAGACAAGCGATCGACAAGAAACATGTTGTAGGCGTGGTTTTTGTAGACTTTCGTAAGGCGTTTGACGCGATTCCCCACTCCATTCTGCTCCGAAAACTTCGGAGTCTTGGTGTAGCTGGGGACTTATGGTGTTGGATAAGGGTTACCTCTCTGGAAGAACGCAAGTAACGACGATTAATGGGTGTCAATCTCAAGCTAAGCCAGTTACTTTTGGTGTACCTCAAGGGTCGGTGCTGGGCCCTACCCTGTTTTCCATCTTCTGTAATGATCTGCCCAATATCACTGAGGGAATAGATGGTGACCCACAACTTCACATGTACGCAGACGATACCACCGTCTATGTTTCGGCTCCGACCTATGATCTGGTGGCTTCCAAGTTGAATGAAGTACTAGCAAGGCTATATACATGGTATTGCGAGAACTGTCTCACTCCACATCCCACCAAGACGGAATATATGTTGCTTGGTGGACGCCGACAATTGACCGGGCCAAAACAAGCTATTAAGTTGAGTGATTATGTTATCGAGGAGGTTGTTTCTACAAGATGCCTAGGTGTTCAGATAGATAATGCTCTTAAATGGGATCATCATCTATCGGAATTAGCGAAGTCATATACGAAGAAGTTGAATTTACGTAAATCCTTGTATTTCCTGCCTAAACAGGCAAGAATTAATTTCTATTTTAAGATTATTCTGCCGTCTGTGACATATGGTATGTTAGTTTGGGGCTCTTGTGGTCGAGTGTTTTTCTCAACCTTAGAATCTATACATGTTAGAGCGGCGAAAATAATATTTAACTTGGATTGGTGTACTCCAAGCAAGGAGGTTCTTGCCACAGTAAAATGGAATACCTTAGAGATTATGTATGAGAAACGATTACTAATCTTAGCGCACCAGGCTTATTATCATCTTCTACCATGTCCTATGAACCGTCGCTTTGAAAAGTATGTAAGTAGTTACGACCTCAGGTAGAAA